TGTTGTGAAAAAATTATTCCTTTCCTTTATCGAGTCGTTTAGATTTGGAAGGTTTAGCCTTGAGTTAAGATCAAGCAGAACTTTAATTAAGGCTTACCTTGTGAAGACGTCGAATATACGTTGTGAGGACGCAGAGTAAATTTACCGCTTTATTGATATAATACAGGGTTAATCAGAAGGATTATTGAAGAATAACGAGTAGAAATCGCTTGCCCGTGAGTCAAAGGCTGTTATAAAAATATAGTAGAGCACTAGTCCAGACCAAACCCTCTTACAAAAAAGGGACATATATATATAAAGAAGTAGGAGTGGTTTACATAAAACGTTAGAGGGTATTCCTTTAGATACAAAGGAAACGGTAAAAATGTGTATTTCCGTCAGACAAAGATAACAAAGAAACGTATGGGAGGTAATTTTGAGGAATGTGATTTGGTGAATAATGCAGTGATGAATCATTAGAAATGTTCTAAGCATTTAATGTATGATAAATTCTCTCGGTTTTTCCGACACCCCGCCTTCAACGGTTTTTCTAACAATAGTGAAAACAGAGTGGAACCATAAGAAATGATAAACATGAATGAATTTCATGAATAGAATTGCATTTGGCTAAGCAGAAAGAACGTGCCAAATTGCAATTTTTGAATATTTAGTTTGAGCACTCAACACGAACCATTCAGTACAAAGTACTGTTTGACATGCAAAATTTTCGTTATATTCCTTATAAGAATTATTAAAACAAATGTAGAATAGTTAATTCAATCAAGTAACTATGGTTTTTCCAAGGATAAGAACAAGTACAAAGCTTAAATTATGAGGAATTAACAACGAGATAGAAGCAGTACGAGTACCTTTTATTCCACTTCTTTTCTTACTAGATGTATTGCAAAACAACGGTTGCGAGGGAGAGCAGTCATAGTTGCTACGCAATGTCAACCCAGGCAACTCCTCACTTCCTGATCTTTTCGTTTAAAATTCTAGTTTAAATTTCAGGAAAAATCCTTTCCAATAATTATTTGTCGTAGAGAAGACGAGAAAATACTATGGATCGAACAAGAATCCTCTAAATTCAAATTCCTTATTCATATTTGACAGTAATTTTACGTTACTATTCAAGTTTGAGACATTTTTAATAGAATTTCATCAAAAGATATTGTCAGGGAAGAGGCCCTTTCAAGCTTATAAATAAAAATTAAGATAGAAGATCTGCATCTTACTGTGAATTTGTGATCGTCTTTAATAATCCTTCATTTGAACTTTGCACTTTCCGTTTCAAGACATTCATTTTTGCAAATGGTGTTTTTTTTTTGGTTCGATTCAACCACAAGACTCGATGACATCTTTTATTCTTTCATATTTTGAGTTTACGATTTAATGAAAAAGAAAAAAAAAAACTAAGGCAATTTTTAATGCGATGGTTCTAAATACAGAGAAAATTACTTCTTCTTTCACTATCAAACCAATCACAAATACATGTATCACAGCAGAAATAATTTCATTTCAATGAAAACTTATAAAGAAAACGAGTAAGACATACAAATGAACATGGAAATGCCTTCATATACATACATAAGGCAAATGATGCATGAGAATTGCAGTAAAATTGAAGCACAAAGTGTCAAATTAATGTCTAATCGTTCCCCCATTATTAATCAAACTTATAAATAATAACTCTAAACAAAATGTTTGTCGACAAATTTTAGTGTCATCAACAACAGAACTGACTATCAAAAACAATCGATAACGATGTGATCACGTTCAGAATTTCTTAAACGCAAGTAGGAATTGATCAAAAATGATTGCATTGTATTTCAAAAATTTTATTTCCAAATAAATTACAAATAGTAGAGCGAGCAATATGCCAATGGGAATATTCGGATGAGAAAACCTATCAACAGTTGCACAATTATCATTCTGCATGCATATTCAAATTTTTTAAATGTATATGAATGCACATATTTTCAACAATTCTAAAATCTATAAATTTCATAGGTCTTTAACTAACAAAATTTATCAAAAATCAGACCTAGGCTTTGCTTTTGCTTATTCACTTATTTCAATTTTCATGGATCTTATACTTGAGCAACAAGTGATTGCTGTTGTTGTTGTTGATCACCAGGTTGCATCTGCTTGCAGTATTGCAGCAAAATTCTTTGGTAATACTCACGTGGCGTTAATGTTCTCGCTGTACTACACTTACTCGTATTCAAATCCAGTGATTCCATACTTGCTAACACACGTTCCGATACAAACGAGAGCGTACGTGGATGCTCAATCCATTTGAAATAGTAAATATCAGGTGGTATGTAAGGGCGTCCATCTGAAAGTACTCTGATAGCAATTCATGGTTGAAATTGTCGAGAGTTGACAAAGTTGAAATGTCGTGGGAAAAAATATAACAGCTGTGACAAATACGCCACGCTTATTATTTTCACGTACATTTTGGTCCAATACAGCCATATATATGAGAAAATAAAAAAAGTGCTATTTTTGGCATAACGTAATTAGTAAATTAAATTTTAGCAAAATAAAAACAATTCGGATGATTATCTATTTATTGTCTACTTTTCCTTCAAACAAACTTTCAGAAAAAAAAAGTACCAATCCAATTTAAATCAGGTTGCCTGCCATTAATTAAGCATTCAAGTAAATATTCTTCTGGCAATTGAGCTAGCTTATTGATCTGTTCCGCAGTAAGGCCATATTTCTTTTGAAGAAACGCTACATAACCAAACACCTAAAAACAGCTGTTTGTGGACAGCTAATCTTATTTCAGGCTCCATTTCTCCTTTTCATATTCACAAAGTCTCATTTTCGGAATCGGATATTCAAATAAATGATTTCACTCCGAAGGGTTATAGCATTTTGGTTTTTCAAAATGTTTCATTGTCATCAATCGGTTATGATTAGATGCGCTAAAGTGCAGCCAAACAGCAATAAATCAAAACTCCTAGAAATTTAATTTAATTTGAGGGGAAATATTGCTTAAGCTTACAATGTAATACGGTAGTACAACAAAGTACACCATCTGATATAAGCCATATGACAATATTACTAATTTAATTAAGCGATTATAATTACAGTGAAAAAAAACCGAACCAATTTGATCAAAATCATTTAAATCTATTCATCAAATGGATTTCTTGAAAATTTTAATGACAAATAAATGAATGCTAGGGAGAAAATAAAAAACTGCGGGAAAAACTAACTTCCCCAAGATGTACGACTTTACCGCCAATCGTCATAAAACTGCGCCCCAAACTTCGACCATAAAAATGAATGTCACGAATGTACTCGCTTCCCACCAAATCTACAATTTGTTCATTGAATGCTTTCTAAAATGCTATAATTTCCAATTTCCTAAAAACAATGGAATCCATTGAGGATGAAATCAGAGAAAAGCGTACCAATACACATCGTTGTGATAATAAGGCCAATAATGATATACATGAGCGTTGCTGGCAGAAAGTCCGCATTTTGAGGTACGATATCTCCAAAACCTGTAACCACCTTTTTCAAAAGTCATTTTGAGGTAGGATATCTCCAAAACCTGTAACCTCCTTTTTCAAAAGTATTATGAATCTCTAATCGAGAATTGCTTCTCTGGAATTACACTGGATGTAATTTTTATTGGCTTCCGGTCGTTGATCAATTTACCATTGCATATCTGAGACGTACAAGCACTACTCGCATTTTAAATTTATAAGAGAGCAGTTTCACAAAAATATACAAACCAATAGTTGTTACGGTAACAAAACAAAAGTAAAAGGATTCCATGAATGTCCAGTTTTCCCAAAGTTGCATAAGACATGCACCACCAGCAGTATAACCTGTAATTTTTTGATGTGTGAGAAAAAACTTTCGAATTTGTTTCTTTTATTACCTTAAGTAGAAGTCAAACTTGATTGACATAAAAAGTTTGAAAATTTTTAACCAAAAAGGTAACCTATCACAATGATGAGTACAAACAACACTGAAATGCGCCTATCATGATGTAACTCATAATCCTCCAATTCATCTGCTCTTGCATGTGTATCTTGAGAAAGTGTTTTCTCGCTTTCTTGTGTATGAATTTCTGATATATCTGGAAAATTCATTTAAACTTTCATTCATTCATGCTAACGAAACTTTTCCCTATCAGCTGATATTTTTGAAATGAGCAATTAATTATAATTATTTCTGCAAATCACACAACAAGTTAAGATTTCACATGCATACACTAATAATTTTCTCTCAATAAAAGTAATCCATTTCAATTTTGTCCTCTCTTCAATCGATTCATCTATATACAATCCTTTGTTTCAGCAAACTTTTATTGCATATTTAAATTCTATCTCCCATTTTAACTAATAAATAATGGTCAATTATCATGAGTTAAAAATCAAAAATGCATTTGTTCACAACAGAAGTTGTTCTATCGAATGATCTAAGCATGACCTACCAAAATCAACTATGAATAGCAAGTCAAAATGGCATACCCTCAAATGTGCCTGCTTCGGAAATGGTATCGACATGATTTTGTCGTCGTCTTCTTAATCTTCTAATATTTGTAACATCGTTGGCAGAAGTTATCTTCGGCTGTTTTTCTTCCATTCTAATGAAAAAAGAAACGAACAGAAAGTAGAAACAAATATTGCTGGATTTTACAAGGAGTCATTAATTGAATAGATTTAAACAATTAAATCCAGTTCTTTTGCAAATCAATTTCTAATCGATGACTTATTCTACAGTTAGCGTTTCAGGTTATTATAATTCACATTCTTAATCTCAAACATTCAAAAATTAGTATCTTACAAAGAAAAGAGTTCATTAAAAATGATTTTACCTAATAAAGGGAATACATTTGCAACAATACATGAAAAACTGTGCGAATTTTCGGAATAATTCCATACGTATCAACCTCATCATGTAATGAATCCTAACTATGCCAGCTGCAAATTTCAGGATTGTGTATACACATTAATTTCGTTTGTTCAAATCATTTATTTCTCGATCTTTTTCATCCACTAATGACATATAGAAAAACTGAACATAAGTCTGAATTTCGATGCTTTTAGAAGAAAGAAAAGATCAGTGAAGAACATGGAATGAAATTCTGTTAAAATTGAGACAAGAAAATAAAATTACAAAAGTTTTTGTCTCTAAAAGACTTTTATCTTGAAATTTTGCTAGATTTATTGAGGATTTGGATCTAAATTTCTTTTTGCAACATCCAATGACCGAAATAATAATGTAATAATTGGGCATAGTTTCGCAGTAACATTTGGATTGGGTAAAAACGATAGAATGAAAAGTTTTCAATACCCGAGAGAAATCGTCCGATATCAGCAATGGTGACAAGTATTAACGGAATACCTAACAGTGCATACATAAGACACGCTATCCGGCCTTCATTGGTTCTCGGTACTATATGTCCATAACCTGAATTCTAATCACAATTCATTTCAAAACTAAAAGTGCAGATAGAATGTCCGATATCAAAACTGGGAATGGTGAAAGCATAATCAATTCCTAAGTTGTCATTAAATTGGAACGACCAGCAAATAAGCAAACCAAAAATCTTGCAAGTGGAAAAAATTATATCACCTCGGCTAAAACTGTATTCACTCAACCTTCAAATTTTCAAACCCTAAGGAGGAAAAAAAAAAGCAATCCATGAAATTTTGTTTTTACACCAATTTGTGTTTCCAAAACAAGATAACAAAAAATTTTCAGATAAAACGGATGCGAAATTTCAATGGTTACTTCTATTTCGTTCCGTGTGTGTTTTGAAATATTAACCTGTCGTTTGCTTTGATGTTTTAATGTTGATTACAGGGAAACATATTTCACAATCATTTCCAGAAATAGAACGGAACAAGTATAAATGTACACGAAAACACAAACGGAACAATTTAATTAACTTTTACCAATGGTTGTAATAGCCGTCCATGAAAAAAATACACTAGAACCGAATGACCATTTCACCGGTCCAGCACCTTTGATTATGTCGTCGGGTGTCATGTAATTTTTCGTGTAATCAATAAACACATCACGAATTACATCATTAATACTGCAACTATTCACTTGAATTTTAAAATTAGAATAAACTTCGATACAAAGTTCCAATCATCTCTTCAATCAATTAGATACCCAATATGGAGAGGTAAAATGCAAAGATTAACTGTAAGAAAATTTAAGTCCCAGAAGTCTTTTTTTACTTGAAATTTTTTTGTGTTCTAGTTATCAATCTAACAAAAATAGAAGAATTTAATATTCATATATTACTCTCACACAACATGGCTTCAGGTACATTTCCGTCAATAGTTTTGGTTTGAAAACTAGTTTGTTATTTGAGTAATCCATTCAAGCAGTTCTTTATTATAAAGGGCGAAATTCTCATTGTTTTACTCTAGTGATACTATGGCTTCAAGTGCATTTCCTCCAATAGCTGTTTTCCAAAATTACTGTCTGTTGAATTGGAAAGTAAATCTATAAGATCCAAAACTTGTAGACTTTTAAAATCTTTAACTTATCCTTTTTTACGTTATTGCCACAAAAATTCTTTGCAACAATCATTAAAATGAAGTGCTCGGTTTTATTCAATTGCTAAAGCTTCTAAAAAACTGGTTTTGACAATATGAAGCTATTTTTGACTCTCAAGTTACGTTTTAACTTTTCAACATAAAAAGGAGAAAGGAACGAACCCAAGATGTGCTGTTTTAGACCAGGTTTCAAATGTCACCTCTCCAGTACTGTTTCTCACATGTACTAGCATCCATAAATTGTCGATAATTTTTTGTTTTAAAGCTTCAATTCGACGAGCAGTTTCGTTACGAATATATACTTCATGTGGCATTTCAAACTGATGATAACATTTAATAATATCATGATTGTCTTGAGATATAAAGATTATTAACGGGTAATGAAAAGTTTTATTGAAGAGGATTGAAAGGGTAAACCAACATGATGAAAGATAGCAGCACCGAGAATTGTGTAAGCTGTTGAAAGGAGGACAAGGCCGATATGTGGCAATACTATGCGTATTCTCTGCAATATAATTAATTAAATTTATATTTGCAATCTGTCAATTAAATAGTTAAGAAGTTAGCTTTATAGTCCTTTCTTCAAAGGTTCATTTGAAGTAGGACTAGGAAAGAATGAGAACCTGTCGTATCTGATCTTTTTGTGTTTTGATACCAAAATCAGTTGTCTTCTTTTCACCAATCTGCTCAAAAATTTTGCCTTCTCCATCCTGTTGTCCTATGAAATAATTCAAACGCTCGGCACTGTAAATGAGAATTCTCTGAATTTTTTTTCAGCTTTAAGCTTTCAAAAAAAAAGTTCAAAATCATGAATGAGACTTTCCTGAACTATATGTATACATATCTTCGTTCTCTTATACTCCTCCGATTAAAATAAAATTTTACGGTAATAAAATATCTAAACACTGTTGTAATGAAAAGAAACAGCTATTATTAAAGTTTAATTTTGGTTGCAGTTCAAATTACCGATTCTTTATTAACATCCCTCAGAAGCTTTATTAACAGTAACTGGTCTTAACGGAAAGTAACTGATTACATTTTTATCACAATCCAGAGCGGTTCTCAAATTTGCATTTTTCATAATAAGCGATTTCTCATATGAGGAGGTCTGTCATTTGTCCCTCTCCTCTTAGATTATCTACTATATATCCGCTTACAATTATGTGCACAGTTCATCAGATATTAGTTTCAACTGAAAACAAACAACAGTTCAAAGCTGGTCAATTTAGTAAGCAATGTGAAACAACCATTGGGTTTTTCGTCCTGCCACTATCCCTAATTTCATCTGTTTTTAAGAAGATCAAAACAACAACAATCCATGTTAGTCGACAGGGAAATATTCTGTAAAAATTCCCTAAGCCAACAGTCTGGGAAATTCCGTAATTGGCTTCTTGGAATATTGAGAAATCTTTAAAGTAATAAGTGGTACTTGATATGCAATCATTTTTTGACAGCATCAAAAATTTGATACATTAAAAACCGGCCCGCACTTGCCTGTGACAAATGCAATAGAATTTATGGCAGTTTTCGTCACTATTTGCAATCCTAACAAATTAGTGAATATTACTGTCTAACTATCTAACCCCATCAATTCCACAAATGATAACGTCAGTCTCTCATTACTTCTGTAAGTGATAAGACGAAGAAGAAATTAAAAGAAAGTGATAAGAAGAGAAAATATGGGGAGTGAATAAAATTAGCCATAGTTCCTCTTTCTCATACAGATAAATTCGTCGAATCTCTGTCAGAAAATTAAATTATCTGTTTACTGAACAACCTTATTCAATTTCTACACTTTTGCGCGTAAGCAAACATCATATTAGCCTTTTATTTTCAAATTGTTTTTTAAGTGCATTATTTGCATTGGGGAAAAGTTGCGTCGTATTACATTGAAGGTCATTGTAAAATTTCTTTTATGTTTGCTGTTTTTCCCCGAGATTTTATCAATGTCTTTTATCCGAAATTAATTTTATAAGTAGAAATAGAGTTACCTTACACTTGAGGATGCATACTGAAATAAAGTATTGCTTCACAAAATATATGTGATATTTATTGAATAAAAAAACAATCGGCAAAAAGCAATTTCAATTCACTATGAAAAGTTCATTCTGATTCTCAACTTATTATATCCTTATCTCTTTCTACTTTGAATAGATTCAAAGCTCTGTGTAGCTCTGTGATTAATCCACACCATCATTTTGTCTCTTAATTAAAATATTTCATTCTCTACTCCACAAAAGCCTTGTATATTTTTCGTCCAACTTCTTTTTTACTTCCTCACCTAATTATTTCCTTTATGAATTACTAGTCCAATATGCTAATGAGTCGCATAACACTAACATCATATATTTTAAATAGTAAGTAAATATCCTTAATCAAAATCATTTAAGTGAAATATGAGATTTGTGAGATTTATTCGGTTGTGCTGTAAAATGAATTTCAACTATTTATATTTTAATTATCACTCTATTTTTACTGAGTTGTGCAATAATTTTTTTCAAATAAAATTCGTTCCATTATTTGTTCATCTCCCTGTCTTTCTTTCTCTTCCATCTGATCATAGCAAAGAGTGACAAGATAGTTACAAAGAAAAGTTAGGACGAAAAGTCTTTCAAATTACAATGACATGAATCAAATTACATCAAATCCAATGAGATGCACTATGACATTTCCTTCGACTTTACATAACACTAATACTTTCTTTAGAGTATTTAAAAAAGTTACTATACTTACTTCCTGAAGCAGTTTAAAATTGTCGCAAACAGGATAAATTTTGCAAGTATTCCAGGAATGGGAATTTAAATTTAATCGGTACTCAACTGCTATCAATGCTTTGTTACAGTGATGCATTCAGTTGTAATTCGATGGACAAGGCATACAATGAGAGAAATTGGGATGAATTAGTCTTAGGCTTTTTCGATTGCCTGAAATATCTTCTTTCACAGTTCTTCAGATTATAGTGTACTGTCACATTGAAATTCAAGTTTTTTGTTATATTTTCGAAGCTCATTTCTGCAAATAATATGTTACACTATAAAGTCGACTGAAAACACATAACGAAACCGAAAAGTGGTCGATTTTTTGCAGCTTTTGCATAAATCTCCCATGAGACAAGCCTTGGTAGGCTAGCATCTGATCCAAACCTTTTTCTGACTTAGCCATCTAAAAAGCTTCATCCTTTACTATTTTTCAACATAAAGGACAACCTAATCCATAGGATTGATGTGTAAACAAGAACGCAAGATCCGTGTTCAAAGGCTGGCCTTTGGACTTAGGAAGGACTTTTCATGAAATCTATCATAATCACTTTCTGTCAACTACTAAGACACTTCCTGAAACCACCAAACTTTTCATTTAAGCGAACGAATTATGGGATATTGTCTTGAACATTGCAAACATTGGAACTTATGGTGGTTAGAAGATTTTAACCAGAAAGAAGGGAAATTTTGGAATGAAAGACAGTAGGTAAAATGAAAATGATGTGAATTCATTGCTTCTACTTGAAATTGAGTAATTCTTCGACACAGTAAATTTTTAAAGTCATACCTGTTCCTAAACTTGTGAAAATGTACTTGTTGTATGCTATGGATTATCTAATGATTATGCACACTCTTATATCTAAATCATTTAATACTAACTATTGTGATAAGCTTTATGATGAATGAAAAAATATGTGTCGTAAACAATTAACTCAAAGTTTCTGATATGAAATAGCTATATTCGCTCTTAGCTATCATAAAACAAACTTTTCTTCTACCGCCATATGTATCGTCCATTCGAAAGATGGACTTATTCAGAATAAGAATTTGGGAATTCTGAAAGGTTATGTTGAAAAGAAAAGTTATATTGAAAAACAAGCACACCTATTGCTCAAATACTATTTTGTGCCGATAAAATAAAATAAAATTAAATTTAGCAAAAAAAATACGATACAACAAAATCGCCGGAATATACAACTGTTTTTCCAAATATTATTGGTGACAGCTAATTATGAAAAGCAAGTTTATCTTTTTAAGATATTGTCATTTGCCCATCAATAATCTATCATTTTAAAAATTTAACTTAGGCCTACCATAGTACTCATATTCTTTATTGTGGGATGACTAACAAATTGTTCAACAAACAATACATGGAATTATTTGCCAGCTATAAAATATTACTTAACCACTTGAAAGAAAATATAATGCTACACACTTTTTTACAGGACTCGAATCTTCCCTTAGTGGAATCTGATCAATTGGCACAAACCTTAGTATTATTGATTGACACTATCACGAATTTTCCTTTTTGGCAAGATTGGACTAATGGTACTGGTCTTGACAATTTTTGTTTGATTCGTAAATGCAATGATTATGAGTTTAAAGCAATTGAAAACTGTGGAAAACTGAAGCCTATAAGTCTTTAAACGAAAGCTAAGCCTCAAAATTCAAAAGATGAAAATTGCTCTAAACTGATGGTAAAAGAGAAGATAAAAAAGTTCAGAAAGAGTAGGTTGAAGCAGTCTACAACTGAAAATTCTGTAATCAGGTAATCCCAAATCCTTGAATACCTTAAATACTTGAATATTCAAATCCTCATCAATTAATACTTGCAGAAAATGTAACCATCTGGAAACGTGCTATCCGAAAGGAAGTAAATAATGGCTATTGCCAAGTTTAAAAACCAATATGAATTAATTGCCTTTAGAACTAATATACTGTGAATGATTCGCGTTACCTTCGTTACATTCATTTTTGATTGTGAACTACAGTTAAGTTAACAATAACCATAACTGATTTTTTTTAGAAAAAAATTTTTAGAACTCCAGAAAGAATTATATTTGTTAACTTATTTGACTTTCATTCAGCTTCTCAGAAAGCTCTCTATGTAAATGATTTAATTAAACAAAGAATCCAACAATTAATGCGTATTAAATGTCATAAAAAACTTTTGAGAGGAATACCGAAAAAAGGTATGAAATCACATTGCTTGAACGATGTTTCTTTTAACTGTTTAAGCTCAAGCTTAGTTAATATTAATTTAACCTTAATTTAGTTTATCTTATTCCAAACATTTTGATTGCGAAATATTTCTGAAGAGAATTCGGAAATATAATCAGATTACTATAATTTATCACTAAATCCGCCAATATTTAAAAAAGAAAATTAAATTAATTTAACTTTGTGAAAGTTACAATTCATTGATTGAAACACTTCAGTAAATAAATTATAATTAAATATTTTTAAAAAAATTCCGAACAAAACAGCTCACTGTTGAACTCTTTCAAATTCTAATTGCACAATTTATTTTTTATTTTTTGACAATGCCATTCACCTGTAATCCACACTTTATTTCAGTACAGTTAATTTGAATTTTAATAGCACAATTTGTTTAAATCTTTTTTTCAGGTTTGAGATTAATAAAAACACAGAATAATTGGAGAATATAGGAATTCTGTTACTCATTTCATGATATTTCAAAACTTTTCATTGTTGCGGGATTTTATGTGGGATTTTTTTTCGGATTGTTTAATGTTCAAAAAATTATGATTAACTTGAGACATCCACATCAATAGAATAAGAAAGGAAGATGGAGGACATCATCTGACTAAACCATCAATCTCAAATGCTATATGACTTCATAAGGAAAGACCCCCGATGAAGAGCGCAATTTTTCATTGATAAAAATACTTCACAAGGGAAATGTATCTTCATCTCCAAAAACGCAGCTTTCAATGGGCCTCATTTGATTAGACGTCAACAAGCCGTCAGATTTTTTTTTCTATTCTTTTCTTTATCCAAAAAAAGAAGAAGAGATAAAGATATTTGAAGAATGACATTGGAACATTTTTTAAACTTTAATAAAGCCAATACATTTTCTATTTGGCTCAGAAAACAAAAGCTTACCAAAAAAGTTTTTGAGTTCCCGATGGAATTTACAGTCTTACATATTCTGTTACTAATTGACAGTGTCATATGCTATTTGAGTTACTTCAATAATTCATATTATATTGCGATAACAGTGACAATAAAACTGAACTATATAATAATGTTTCAACTACTTTGTGAATGATGGAGAAGAGAATAAAAAATTCATTCAATATATCAAAATAGTTGAACAATTTATATTGCGCATAATATCATATACAATATGATATTTCACTGATATGCATATCTGTCCTCACTTTTTAAATGCTTCTTTCCCATTAAATGTCTTAATCAGACATATGAATACTGCATTCAGACTATCTAAATCAATACATGAAATGAGAAGTCTTCACACCGAGAATAATTTTATCTTTAAACTCATTTTCGAAGCAAACCAGCAATGATAATATTTCCGTTTGAATCATCATGCTTATTCAAAAGTACTGATATCATTAATAATCTTTGGAAGTTATCAAGAATTTGTGACTCCATTAAGAACTCTTAATCATCAAGTAAAAATTTAGAAATACATTAGTTTCAATAGAAATAGTTGCTATCACAAAATTCTCAATTTTTCTGAACTTCTGGCAATTTTCCACCTCCTGAGTTTTGCAAAATACTTTACATAAAATTTCAATAAAGATCCAAACAAAATCTTTGAAGTGAAATTAACTGAAACTTTTCCCAACTAAATATGTGAAATAACACCTTTAAATTCATTTCAAAAGTGGTAAGAGAAATAATATAACACATGGATCTTAAAAAATCATTCTGTAACAAAAATCAAGTTTTAATGATATTCACGTCTTAAGTTTTATTTTTTATGGATAATGATTGCAATCCATGAAGAAATTTCTCCCCCACATACTTCATACTTGATTTTGATTTGGATCTCACTTTTGACTAATTCTAAAAATATCTGCAGTTTGAAACCTTCTGGAACTGAATAGACCAGCATATACTATTTTATTTGTTCAACTCAGTAACTGATAGTAAAGACTAATCAAAAGAAGCGGAGAAATGTGTTGTACTTATATAACTGACCAAACATTTCCCTTCAGGCCAAAAACATAAGCCAAAAGGTGGAAACTGAGATTATGATAATGAATGACAATGATGTAACTAACGGTTTTTGATAACACTGAAGAACGTATATGTGTTTTGATAAAAATAAAGAAAAAAGATTCTTACCCACTATTTCATTTAGCTCAAATCTTTTTTCCAGATCAGTTAATAAACAGAGGGAATTTGTGAGGAATGGAGAAGTGGATGTCAGGATTGAATTATTTCATCTTTTATCACAAACCAAATATAAGGCTACTACCAATATTTATTGCTTCATTACAAAAGATAATTAATTTGCAGTTACTATGTTTTACATACATACTCACAGGAAGTATCTGCATAACGGTGGGAAACATTGGAATAGATAAATTTGCAACTACTATTGTAGCCAACAGAGAAACTTATATTTCCATCTCAAAAAACATTTGGAAAACCTTTGAGGAACTCAGAAATCCCAAATTCTCATACTTGCTTTGAAAGGCAAATTATTTAGATTTCACACTTCGGCAATTCGTCAGTTTGAAAAATAAGTTAAAATAGAATTGTAATCCAAATTATTTTGAAAATTTTCTCTAAGAGAAGATTAATGAATCATTGGTTTTCCAAGTAATACTTACATTTTTTACTCTGAATTCACTAAATTTTGGAAATTTCACCATAGATCCCTTCGCTGGCGTTGTAATAGAAGTCCTAATGATTTCGGTAAAAGTGCTAGCATCTTTAAAGATATCTTTGTCAAAGGTCAAAACATTGAAAACATGAAAATCCACTTTCATCCATTTTTATCTCAGCATACAAATTCCTGGTGCTGATGCTATCATTTTCAGAAAGTTTTAATTTTCCATACCTTATTTCAGTAATATCCTGTAAATTGCTCGGTGGTCGCCGAGAAACAATCGGTGAACGTGATCGATAATGCATAGAACAGATTAAATAGAATTCAGTAGCCAATTCATGACATTATCAAGCATTTTTTCAAAATCGTGAATTTGCAAATTACGACCCGGAATTCGTTTCCAAGAATAATTGTTAAAGATATGGATTCATCCGGAACACAATGAAAGCAGTAGGAGAATCTTGTCTATTGCTTTAACTGGCAATATCTTGTGTCCATATAAATGATAGGAATAACCAAAAAAAGTACGATCCGGAATGTTCCTGTTCATCAAGTGTCTTCCATTATTAGAATGCTACCCTCACTGACATGTTAGCCATGATACTAACATTTGGTCGACAGATATAGTTGGATTTCAGTGTTGTGCATTTGAACACTTTCTCCAACTTCGGCATTGAATACATCAATATGATCTATTTATCTCACTTCAAAATTTCCTGTTATTTAGCGTTTTTCTCTAATGCCAGAGCTGGTCATAGCGAAGAAGTCAGATTGAAATCCTGCAAGGAAGATGAAGGATTTGGGATAGGTTTGGGTTCATCTAGAGAGTAAAATTAAACATCGGCTTTCTGCCAGATGATGTGATCCACGTTTCTGAGCAAATCAAAGTTCAAAAATCAACAGCAGTAACTCTTAAAATACTACTTGCTAATATTAATTAAGTCAATCGAGGACACTGCTTCTTAAACATATCATAGAAAATTATGATGGATGAGAAATTTTGATTGGGAATGTAGAAATTTTGATTGGGAAAATCATTCGAGTGCAGAACTGACTGGCGCTGTTATCCAACCTATCAATGATGATGACAGTAGCATTGATTCAACACATTCTCAAGCAGCTTTATTATATGCAAACTGGTGAAGTCCTCAAGCATAAGCTAAAAAACATTTTGCACTTGGGCGTGTCTCGATTTTTTTCAGAGCCTTTCCGAAATATTCGACATTAAAGCTTTTGGATTACCGATAGTACCGGAAACGATATCACTTTTATGCTAATTGTTCCTATTTATGGATCACTATATTATCAGGTTATCATCATTGACTTGAAAGGAAGTGTTGATTTTAGCTAATTCTCTTATCAGTTCAATTGGCATCGATCAAATTGCGGCACCATTTATCACTTACAGCTTATTTCACAGCAAAATTTCCACGCTAAAAAATTAAACGACGAGAGCGAAATGACACAGGAGAACAGTGACGCAATCAAAGTTGAATAAGAGCTTGAATAGAAAAAAGTAGTGGATGTTGGAACCAGGAAGTTCTCCTGTACTTGTTATGAAGTCGAATAATTTCACCAACTAATAAGTGAATCTGATTTTCTAAGACATAAAGAGATAGCCGTCTGACAGAATTATATTTCCAGCAAGAATTTAATCACAGAAGAGCCTTACAGATTCCGAAATTTGTATACATTTGTTTTTTTGTCAGAATGGGATCCTTCGACTAGTAAGATTTGCTTAATTTTAACGAACAGAAATTCAGAAAACTGAAAAATCCTGGAAAATACAAATTTTTTGGTATTATAAGAAGAATGATATATTAGCATAAACACTTTAGTGTTAAGAAAGACGAGCTATTTTTCGCTATTTGAGGATTGTGAAATAAGAAAGAAAAATTTAACAATCAAAAAGATCAAGGGGTGTTTGGAGGGATGTTCCTATTTTGACTTTTTTTCCTTCTCCTCATCATCTCGGAACCCATCCTCGCGAGTTGTAATTTTTTCAACTTAAAAAATTTTGAATAAACAGCGTGTTTTATAGCAGAAGTGAAAATGCCTGTGATAACAAAAGTTCTTCTTTGTATTTATGGAACATAGTATATTTGCATAACGAAAAGAGCCATACTGTTTCCGAAGAAATCTTCAACTGACTTCCTAATAACTGACCAAGAGATTACAAAGAATCGAAATTAATTCACTCGTATTTCTATAGGAAACAAAAGTAACCAAGCCTACAATCATCAGCTACGATTGAGGCCAATTCTGAGTTTTGTATAGCGACAGTATACCTTTTTGCTGCTCAAATTGCCACGCGTAACAAACACGATAATCATATCAATAGCATTTCATGCTTAATTGCTCGCATTTAAAATAAAAATTTTCATTGATAAGCTTGAAAATATGACGGAAAGGTTATATTATAAAAAAGAATTTCTCAACTTAAAACACCGACAAATGTCATGAAAAAATAAGTGATCAGAAAATTTAATATTCAAATCGTACATTACACGCCATTGAAACGTGAAGTTAGTCTCTAAGACTGTGTAAGTTCTCGGAACTGTCACACAAGAAAGATTGCATACGTACTGTGAGCAAAAGACAAGACTTCTTTTCTTATTTTGAAAACAAGTCTCTCCTATCGTATTTCACTATATTTTTAATAATAAACTCTTATCAAGGGTTTACCAAATCTCGGTTAAAAAATTTCTTATTTAATCTTTGACTCCCTTACTGTTTGGACTAGTAAAAGAATACCAATAAAATTTTCGCGAGTTTAGTTCTTAAAAATAAGTAGGAAAAATCGATGAAGAGAAAATATTGCATTACTTGGTCAAAACAAGTGAAAATTTCACTTCCGGAACCGGAAAAAGTAATGGAGTAATAAATAGATAAAGCATAACTTTGCAGGAAAGAAGAATTTTAACGATGATTTTAGTCAGAAAACGAAAAGCCAGTTATTAACTAATTGATATTGGCAATACAAACTTTGTACCCATTGTTCAACTGTTTGATACAAAGATAGCTGCATTTAGAACTAATTTTTTTATGCTCAGAAACGAAATTAAATGATAAACTAAAGGTTGAGGTATTGTCAATGTAAAAATTTTAAACCTTCAATTGTTTCTCAACTTCAGATACAAGCAATTCAGGTATGGGAGGGCAGTATGAATAAGCGTTGATTCATAATTGTTATACGAATACTGACCAGTGTTGACCTTCGAGAATCCAATGAATTTCAAAATCAGTTGGATGTTAATTGACAATTAGCACTGTCGACTTCTTCTAGATTGCTGAACATAGTTGAATGACAGAAAAGATAACTAACTCTTCTTACGAAAGTACTGTAGAAAATGTGTAAACTTTACCATATAACGCTCAAAATATTAAACATTTCTTCCCAAAAAACTTTCCTTCAAAAGTAAAATGTAGACCCAAAGAATGCCAACTTCATGCAACACGTACATGCAATTCAGCTAAGTCACAAACTCTTTCATGAAGCTTACTCTTTCATGTTAGCTTTTCAAATGCTAACAACAATTTACAGAGGCGCAAAGTCCATGGTCAACTGTTAAGCAAGAAAAAGTTGCATTAATAAGCGTCAATTGATAATAAGTGCGATAGTTTGATGGGACAGTCAGAGAAGTTAAATATTAAAATGTCAAAGAAAGTTTCATTCCAGTACTTGAATACTTGAATATTATTTTCCTATCAAGTAAGGTGTATTATTATGAATGATCGCCTCTACCACCAAAATTTTCCTTTTTTTTCTTTTTTTGCCGAAATATACACGAAAATGATAGAACAAATGACTAAATATTATCCTTACACAATTTGGATCCCACAATAAAGATGCTTTGAACCATTGTAAGGACGATCACTTAGAAAATGTTTGTAAGCTAAGCTTTCTATGATTATTAAAACGGGGCGGCTTTTGTCAGGTGGAAAAGTTGGGTATATAATAGAACTTTTTACATAGCATATCTAGCTATGGAATATTGAAATACCATAAACTTCTTATTGTGTTTTGAAGTGATCGATGAAAATAATATCGACCTCTTTCTAGTCTTACAAAAGTGATCGTTCCAGGCAATTCTCACAGATTGGAAAGATTAAATCTTGGACAGAATATTGAAGAGCACTAACAAGTGATAACATATGCATCACACTTATGAACTGAATTACCACCTGATTATCACTCCTAGCCTTCATACTTCATCAGTAACTTCCCAAATAATGTTCGAATGAGAAATATCACTTACATTGTCTGCATTTGAATGCCATCAGTGTACGATGTACAACTAGTATTGATTGTGGTACCATTGTTACCTTGTCGCACAGAATATACTGAGCTGAATGATTGTTTCTGATAATTGTGTGCGTAGATACTTGCGGCAGATGAGCCATCACTTTGCGTGTGAACTGAAGACGGCATTTTGCGAGATGAAGCAGCCGCAGCTGCCATCAAAGTTGCTTGCACTCCAGAGGTCATCCGAGTTGCCTAAACTTCATCGATGATGTAAGGATGCACCATTTGGAATCTGTTGTTTAACTAGACAGAAGGAAAAAATTATATGCAATAAAACTTCAAGTTCAAATTTAAATCTCAAAATTTCATGCCTGAATTTGTATTCACGAGATTATCTAGCATCGAAGATAGCTAGCGTCAAATTTCAATATTTCCCTTTTATTAGGACTATTTTAGTTCTTTCAATGTTATTTGACTTATTTGCCTTATTGTTTCTTTCCATCGTTTTTTGATTTATGATATGATCAATTTATTGGATTCGTTTTGATTCCATTTCAATTTTAAAATCAAACGATCTCAGTGCATGTGTTTATTTAAATCATAATGTTGTTCAAAAGCTTCCAAAATATAATTTAGTATCAAAATCTAAGTTTTTTTTCTTCACAATGTTGTATGATTTGATTTTAATTAGTACCGTTTTTCTTAACAACAGAAAATAAGAATTAATAGAGAAATATTCTCCCTAAATTATCATTTTCCACTCAAAATCCCATAGCTCTTTGGCACCAATGTCATTCTGCAGTCATTCTCGCATTCGTTACTATAAACGATGCAAAAACGCAAATACATCCCAGTCGGATGTTAGCTTATTTTGCTCAAAACAAAAACTTTTATTCTGTTCTTGCTATTTGTGCAAACATAAAGTTACTTTTCATACTTCATATTAAAATTTAAACACTAACTATCCTATTTATTTTACTCTTAAATAAATGACAGATATTACTTAAGATAAGTGGTTAAAGTGACTTTGAACTGAGAAAAGGAAGAAATACAATTGATAATCCCTGAATTAATGTAAATTAGCAACAAAATAGATTCTTTGGGAAATATGATCCCAAGCACATTGTGACCCACAGTGGTCTGCATTCACAACTGACCACCTTGACTTAATTAGAATGAAATGAAATGAAGTGAGACATTTTTGTGAATGTTCTCATTGAAGGTCACAATTAAATTTCTATATCAACGATGAACTCATTAAAATGAAATGCAGTATGGATAACCCATGAGGGAAGAGGGAACTATGCCATATGAAAGTTAAGTTTTAATGAAGCATTAGCGTGCATGGAATAACAGTAGTGCAGTTTCCACTGCTCACTGATCGCTATTCCTGCAAGCATTGTATCATTCCACTCAGTGATAAATGCATTCCATTATAAAAACAACCGTCGTCAATATCAACTCTAAATATGATGACCAGTGCTCCTTAGCGACCTGTTTAAAGCTTTCAAGTCATACATCTATCGATGATAAATGAAATTTTAAAAAGACCAAAAACATTTCTTTCATCTGTTTATATTCAGAAAGTGAATCATTTCCCCTCTGATAATTTTTATGCCATAATGCCTTGATATGATGTCTTCAACTTATTACATAAATGTATGGGAATAATTAATGATTAGATAGGACTATAGATTTGCTAAAATTCGTTGAAAATATTTCGAGTGGAAGTCCAAATGCAAATTAATGATTATCAATTACTGACAGTTGTGATGTATTCTTGAAAAATACTTAAAAAGACTTTTTTGACAACGCATTACTATAATTCATTGATTAAATCATTTCTTATAATTTAAAAAGAGAAGAACTTAGAAATATAAAATTCAAAAAGTATTTGAAGACATTGCATTGGCCAAACTTGCAAGAGCAAATATGCCAAACATATATAAAATTGCATTGTCTTTATTAGGATATTGAATTTCCTAAAACGATTAGTTGCATGCATTTCTGCATGAAATCATCCGAAGAAAATGCATGCAGCAGTGAAATTATTCTCTCTCAGAATTAAAAGGAAATTTGCAATTGACATCTTTTTAGGTAAGATTAAAAAAACAAAGCGTTAATATTTCAAGAAATTTTTAAGTATTTACATTAAACTAGAATACTAAAATGTGTAACAAAATACTATCATTTTAAGCTTTTCATCTTTTTAAGTCAACGTTGAAGTGGTACCTCTATAAGGTTTACTGTTTCTCATGAAATGGAATAAAAAAATGTTGGAATTTTTTTTGATAGAGGTGTTTTTTTTTTGATAAAATTAGCAAGCTATTTTAAAAAACATTTTTAAAGCATTATTTAAAGGTTAGGAGGATTGAAATGAGAAGACTTGTTAAGTGAACAGTTTGGATAAACCTAATTAAAATGTGTGTCTGTAAAATCATTACAATTCAATAACCACTCGAATCTATTACCGAAGGGTAAATATGACTAATCGTTGCTGGCGAAAGACAAGGAAATATTCATACAAGTTATTACCATTAAGATCAAACCTTTGACTATTTTTTTTTGCAAAACATTTCACATTCTTTTCCAAAGCTTTTTCAACGTCGTTGAGTCTCAATACTCACTGATCTCATGATGTTGTTAAACAGTTACTTTTCTTTTTATAATACAGTTATCCTTGTCTTGTAACTTTGTTTAAGTCATTATGACCTTAGAATAAATCATCGGTTATGGGATTATTAAGATTGTCGGATAACAGTCTGTTATCTGGCATATGTTTCAAGTATGTCGAAATATATTTCAATGATACATTCCACTCATGGCTGTTTTTGCATCTAAGAATATTTGTATTTTTAAATTAACTTCGATAAAATACAAAAAAAATTTAATTGCCAATTTCAATAAATTATAATTGTACAAGTCGGTACCCTAACTGCTGTAGTAAGTTTCTTCGTGCAATTTCAACAAATAAAATTTGTCTTGTGTTTGATAAATTATTTGAAACTCATGAATAGTTTACTAATACATGATTATGTCCATCTGTATAGTCTTTGCTTCATTTTATGGAAATTGAAAGAAGAAAGTGTTTTAAAAGAAAAGAAATGAAAATGATGTTTAGATGTGAGTATTAGCAAATGACTGGAAAAATTACCAATTCAACACATATAATATTATATCGTCCCTTACAATTAAAAGCGCATTTTTAGGCCCAAATAATCACCAATGCGTAGATAACGAATAGAACCTGACACAAGCGATCTCATCCATATGACACACACACACACACACACACACATACACACACACATGCACACATACACACACACACATACACACACACACACACACGCATAGACACTCATACTCATGTATATATATATATGCTAACCCGTCATTCGTGCAGGTTTTGTTAAAAGAGCAAATCGATGTACACACCGAGTAAAGCGCAGATTTTCGTACCTTTTCTTGGAGTACATACATCCAAATTTCAAGAATCTCATTAAATTAAAAATGGAACTGGAGGTGAGCGATCGGATGGACTTTGTTTGGTATTAATGAGGTAAAACTTTAAGGTATTGTTTTCCATTTTAATGAATATAAGTAAATCAACCTTAGTTTGATTCATTTGTTTTATCTAAAGTTATGTGCCATCATAAACATACTACTCCTTTAGGTCAACTTTCATCAACAGCTTCAATACTTCCCTAATACTGAGCAGAACCATTCGATTCACTGATCTATCAATGTGTCAGCGACAACAAAGACTGCAAGCAGTTATCCTACAAATATTTTGAGATTGAAGTTCACCACAAGTAACGCAAATTTATTTTTTAATTCATACAATAGTTTTCTGATAAAAACAAAATTGCTTATTTCTTGAAATGAAAAAACAAGAAATGACGTCACAATGTTTTCTGATTTCGTCGTCTTTCTTACCTTTGAAAATTTCAAGCCAGAAAACGATTCCAAAATTTTTTGAATGTTAATGGCCAAATTTAATGTTTCTCTTACGAAAAGATAAGATCTAAAGGTATAAACAATAACACGGGTATTATGTTCCTGAGACTTGTCATGACAACAATTTCATCCGATGTCGCACACACCGACATTGCTGGTTGACATTATATTATTTGAATGATCCAAAAGATTTTTGCTTTTAGGTCTCCAAATATTTACAGTAATTGATAATTAATTAGTCGCAGATGGATGATTATTAACTGAACAATTCTTTTTCCCTTTTTTTTTGCCTAGTGACCACTATTATTACCATTAATTCCAACTTGGACATCTTCGTGTTACAATAATATTAGTGGATACTGTCGGGATATCCCTCCATCACCATGACAAGATTTCCAAGGGGTTCCTGCAATTATAACCTGATCAGATTTAACAGACGATCCTGTGGTATGATTTAGTTATCAAGAACGTTGAAATGAAAAATCAGATTCGATTTTACCGGCTACGTTTAACCATAGATTCAAATGGTTAAGTTAATTAAGCTTAAATAATTAAGCTCATCATATAGCCTTAATTAAGCTCATCATATAGCGACTAATGAGACTATTTTCTTGTTGAGAATTTCAGAAATGTGGAGAGCGTTTGGCAGTATCAACATTTTGCATAATAAAAAAAAAAAACACAACGCGAGCCCAGAAGACAGGTCATATGTTAGCTTGACTTTCATTTATGTTCTCCTCTAGGAACATTCCTGTTCCATCTGAGGGCAAATTCAATTTTTGAGGACAAAAGATTTCGGACAATGAAGAAATAGAGACTCTTTATTCTTCTTTTATTAGCAAAACAAACCAAAAATTTATAAAAACGAAGGTTTTTCAGATGTCAAAGTCTATTGTTATCACACGGAAAATTTACTCTCACCTTCAAATCATATTGCTTTATTCGTTTCAAGTAAACTTCAGCGCCAAAAAAAAATTTTAAACGAACTTAAGAGCAACAAGTAAAGTTGTTATAACATAGAATCAGATGTTACAAAAGTAAGGGTGCTTCAAACATCTAAAAAAAATTGAATGAAGTTAAATCATAGCCTAGGACTTCATCTCAGAACACTGAAACAGAATGTAAAGCAAGAATATTCAGGGACTTGAAAATCCTTAACATAAAAAAAAACGAAAAGCAGCGGACCCATTATTCATTAAATTTCAAGTATACAACAAAATGAAAGCTACCACTGCACATTATACACTCCACCTGCTAAGATTTCAATGGATCCTCGTTTCGTTGTCTTCTAAACTTACCTTGAAAATACCTGATTGCATCAACATCTCGAAACTTCAACGCAAAACCGACCTTAAACATCGAAATGTTTTTTAATCTCCAATAGGGAAATATAGTCATGAAATTTAACAACCGCGAATGAGTTACGACCATGGACTCAATCAGTAATTCGTCTGTTTTTTGCACTTTGGAACATAATTGATGTGACATACAATCCATGAGCTTCGGTGACACAAGAAAAATTTAAACTTACACTAGTAACTTGTTAAAAAAGTGAAGAAACAAATATAGGCTGATTTCAACACTTTTTTATCAAAATAGAAATTTCGAATAATGTTAAAGAACATTGAATTGCACGTGGAATGACTTCTCAATTATTTAACAATCAAGATTTGCTAATAAAAGAGAGAAAAAGGGAGATTGGGAACGCAGAACTGTAGAAGATGGAATTAGGTAAAATTGAGATTTTCATTGAGGATGAAAATTTATGTTATTGAATTATGCAAAAAAAGGTTATTTGCATGTATCATGATGTACAGTTTAAAAAAATGGAAACTTTCAGTACTACAATTTCTTAAGCTATTTTTTGAATCTAAGTGGTGTAAAATTAAAAATCAACTGCTGCGATTTGTTTAAGGAAGGAAAATTGGTAACATGTTTACCATTTGTTCCCCAAATATTGCAAAAGACAAGTTTTCAGATATAAGTTAAAAACAAAACAGAAATGAATAATGAGACTGATCAATTTTCTATAAGAAAACTGCTTTCTTCAGGGTTCTTCTGTAGCTATCCGAGGCTGCGTTGCGATACCAACATTTGATACCTAAACATCAAATTTGAAAGCAACCTAGGAAACTATCAAATTTTTCCATGAAAGTAGCGATTAAAACATTAAACAACATGTCCTTCCGAAAAATATTGACAGCGGCAATGAAAAGAAGCCAAACATGGAAGCACTGGCTTCAATTGACATTTTACTTGTAAAGTTTCATTGGAATCTCGAGAAAATTCTTAAATTTTGGTAAATTCAATAAAATAATACAGAATACGCGATGCGCCCTCCAACAGGCTGAACTTTAGAACGATTCTTGGCTCGAATTTTGACTAATGAATTTTCTGCAATATCAGCACGTTCTTCAGCATCTTCAAGCATGTGTTGCATTTGCCGATATTTGCTAAGATTTTGAGTGGCTAATTGTTCCTAAATAAAATTATCACTTTGAAAAGCGTAAGTATGTTATTGGAAACAAATCAAGATGCGGAACAGATTGCTTTATAAGTCACTCAGAGTAATTTGCAAGATAGTTTAAAGTGAAATGTTCGAGGCGGAAGAAATCATTCTTAAAGAATGACTGTTAGTAAGTATTCAAAACAGAAAAATAACCATATGCAAATGGACTGGACAGGAAATAAATTCAAAGTACTTTTTGGCTTACTGGAAATTTCAGAAGTAAGTGAAAAAAGTACCGCTTCTTCCAACTGCCGTTTGTAAGTTTTGATTTTTGCTTGCATCTTTTCGATAAGATCATACATCCGTTCGCAATTCTTTTTGTCTTCATCCACTTGGAATTGAAGTTCGCGCACTTTTCGTTCTCTGTTACGATAATTTTTGAGAGTTTCGGCATGACGCCGACATTCATCCGCTAGTTCTACCTCAAGATCATGTACACGTTGATCCAGTTTAGTTAACATACGTTTTCCACCTTTCAGCGCTGTTGCTTCCACCTCATCCAAACGAGCCTGCATTTCCTGCAAAAAGTTTCCCACAAAATGCATCAAGAATGTTCGCTGTAGTTGGATTACTTCTCTGCTTCTGTCCTTCTCTTACACAGTTTCTTAATTTCTCGCATCTGAAATCACTGTCCAGTCACGAAAAAGAAATTTGCAATAAGTACACGAGAGAAATAGAGGAGCGGCAGGTAAAAAATGAAATGAATGCAATGGAACCTTCGTTTGCAATTCCAATCCTTTCCGTTGTCGGTCAAGATTCTGTGAATGTTCCTGCTCTATTTGTAACTCCTCCGCCAGTTTTGCTGCATCCATCACCGCTTTTTTGCATCTCTCATCGGTACTTTTCAATTCATTAAACGTTTCACTAAGCTCGCTATTGAGCTGCTGAAAAGTAATATTTGTCTAGTAATTAGCAACATCTTGATGTTCCTCTCTGGATATGCTTGATAAGTTGTAAAAAAAAAAAGAAAAATGCAACAGTCTTCACAGATAATAGTTGTCCATCAATATTCTGTTTCTTTATTGGTCAAAAATATGCAACTGTGGTTAAAAATTAGATTTATTTGAAGGTAACTCAAACTGAAAATAAACATTTGGAAAGAATAAAGGTGTCAAATGGGACATTAAATATATTAACGTTAGAAATCGTAAAGAAATTTATTTGTTAAATCGTCGTAAATGAATGAGTTCAGTAACTTCGAGAACGGCAACTTATCTAATCACTCAATAAGATTTTCTAAGAGAATTGACAAAATAAATCGTTCTTATATGAAACCATTAATTCTTTCGACAGAAGAAAGCGAAAGAGATAAAACTGATTACTTTTCGAACTGATATCTTAACTTGAAAATTGAAAGCTGAACTGATAATGTTCAGGAGCTTGGAAAAGATATAAACTTTATATCAAAAATGCACACTTTCGTACACAATGGAAACTGTTTTATAGAAACTTAGTCCTTGCTTAATCCTTGCTTTAATTTGTCAATGAACCATTATTTTCATAATATATGGAAACCTGAATTTCAGATTCCAGCTTTCGTTTCGTAGATGATAGTGAGTAATTATTTTGAGTTAAAGAATTCACTGTTTCCTTCATATCCGCGGCTTCTTGTTCTAATTGATGGCGAATTCGTTCCGTCTAAATTGATTTATTGCCACAAAATCGCAAATATTTTGAAGTGCTCCTACGAAGTAAAGTCAAAACGGAAAAACTATTCGTGGAAAAAATTTATTTGTTCAAGCAATTGAATTTTGCATTGATATGGAGTTTGTAAATTTAAGGAATATGCATGCCGTAAATCGCACGTACTCTTCAAAATAATTTAATGAAAGGAACAGAATCTTGGGAAACTAATAAAATAATTCCGATTTTGCAGCTGATTTGCATAATATCATCCAATATATCAAGAGGTTATCATCCTTGGCGGTTGAATTAATCGAACGATAAATCGAGTGGTATGCCACAGCACATGGCTCATCCTAGTGCTATCATATATCAATCTGGATATTTCAGCTACATTCATCCGTGCTTGATAGCGCTACCTTATTTCGGTTAATAAAGTTAAAAATGCAAAAGTGAGATAAAATTAACAGCTATCAAAGCAGAAAGATGGCAGCAGCATAAACTCGAAAAGTTATTACAAGTTACTAGAAGCTCGGATCATCATATACAAAAATTTATTCTTTGGTAACCTGCTCCAGAGTTCCGGTTAGTTCTTCTTTTTCTGATTGTATTGCTTGTATACGTCTTTCCATAACGTTCATTTGTTCACGCAGCTCATCACGTTGGCGTTGTTCATCTTCGATTTGAGTCTGTCACAAAAATTTGTTATATTATTGATAGGCTGCTAAATTTAGAAATTTTGGACTAGCTGGATTACTCACGAAATCTAAAATATTGTAACTACTACTTAAAAATGAATTTTCCTAAAGAAATGAAATTTCATTTGAAGAAAAATTGACAATTTATGCATGCTGTATTATTTAGTCTTTCATCGATTTTAAATAGCATAAAAATTCATTGTACATTCTCTTAGATCCTTCAACAACACGGACTTGATAAGTTCTCAGCTCAACCTAAGAGAACTAGTCACATCCCAGACAAAGCTTACTTCTAGCAAAAAGAACTGGCCTTTCTTCGCATGCAAAATCTGGTGGAGTAATAAAAATATTTGGCTCACAGCAACTTTTCTAGGCATCAATAGAATAGATATGGAGAAAACTGCGAATAAATTATACTAGGTAGTGGAAAAATGAAGAACTTTCCTCGTGTATTTTCTGATTATAAAATGCATTTATTACCTGCAACTCACGTGCATTGTCCTGGTAACGTTTAATGGTTTTCTGGATATCCATATTGGCACGATTAGCATGATCCAGAGCTACTTCTAGTTCCTGAAAAAGTACTTCTATAATTCATCTCATAACAAAAAGTAAAATTCTCTTTACAATCCCAATGATATCGCATCAATCTGCAAATGCCCCCATTCGTAATCACCAACAACGGTACTCTTTGTTTTCGCAGAATATTTAGCATGAAGAGCATCATTTTTACGCTGATGCAACTTGAATTGTTCAACCTTGTCCGATTGACGCATCATACATTCTAACAATGATTGCATAGTTTTCACACTAAAAATGAATTAAAAAACAATACGAAAAATAGCACCGATATCATGAAAATGAAAAAATACGTAAATAAATTTATGCATATATACTAATGTT